TCAGTACACGGCCGACATTTGGACTCTGGTGATGTGGGTAAGTCAGAGAACAGTCCTCTGAGAAAATAATTGTTGTGTGGGTTTCTTCCCTCTTGCAGGAAGATCTGTTTCAGCAGCCAGGCCTGAGGCCAGAATTTGAACATATAAGAGACTGCTTGGATACCGGAATGATTGATAACCTCTGTATCCTTCAGAAATTTGTGTGTGCATGTGAGACTATGAGAGCTTTTAAAAGAGAGAGAAGCATATCTCAAAGCCTGGCGTCCGATAGTGTGACCTTGGCTAACAGGCTCTACTTACTCAGAACCTTTTCAGAGAGGACATTACGGCTTCACGCAGGCAGCATGGCACCTGACAAACAGCATGGTGCCTTTGAGATATGGACTGGCATCCTAGCACTGAGTAGAGCCTGACTGAGCAGGCAGCCCTTCTGGCACATGCTTGTCCCTGGGCCTTCTATCCCTGGGCATCACCGTCACCCGTTCCTTAACAGTGGGCCAAAGGTGCCAACAACCATTCCGTAGCTGAAGCCTTGCTGCTTTTCCTAGAGAGCCTGCCAGAGCCTGTCGTCTGTTACAGCGCCTACCATAAATGCCTGGAGTTTTCTGGCAACTGCGGAGCCAGCAAGCAGGTGAGGGGAGCACCGAGCATTAGCATGCGTAGTAGCTAGCCCTGGGCATGTGAAGCCTGGCACAGCCAAACAGAACAGGCCCTTCAATCACAGTGGCTTGGAAAATTAATATCTTACCTTCTCCTGCAGTGGCTTGGAAGATGAACTTCTTTCTTTCTCATGCCCGCTCTTCCTTTCATGTCCCCTTTGCTTTTAATAGCATCACCCTTAATTCCAGTGACTCAGCCCTGAAACCTGAGTCATTTCTGATTCCTCCCTCTCCTCACCGCCCACGCACCCAGTCCCATTGATCCATCACTTTTCCACTCTCTCCCGTTGTCACTGTTTACGTGGTGCAGGGCTCTGTGTTACTGCGCTCCCTCTCTTCTTCATTCTGCGTGCTCCAATTAGATGGTAAACTTAAAGGTGCCATCCTATTAGACAAAACCATACTTACCTCTTTTTTAAAAAATTTATTTATTTTTTATGTACATTGGTGTTTTGACATGGGTGTCAAGTTCCCTGGAACTGGAGTTACAGACAGTTGTGAGCTGCCATGTGGTTCCTGGGAATTGGACTCATGTCCTCTGGAAGAGCAGTCAGTGTTCTTAACCACTGAGCCATATTTCCAGTCCCATACTTACCTCTTTGTTCGCTGTTTTTAATAATACTTCTCATTTCTTTCTCTTTCTTTTCTTTTCCTTCCTTTCTTTCTTTTTTTTTTTTATTTTTGTTTGTTTGGTTTTTTTGAAGCAGGTTCTTTCTGTGTGACTCTGGCCTAGAATTCAGTGTGGCCCAGGCTGACCTCAATTCATTATTCTTCCACCTCAGCTTTCCAAGTGCTGGGATCACAAGTGTGCATCACCACACCCCACTCGGTGATTGATATAATAATGAACAACAGTTGCCAACAGTACGTGTTCCAGAACCTTTGCTCATATCCATTGAATCTGGGTGTCTTCTGGAACCTGCCTTTTCCCAGCTTCCTAGCTGATTCTTCTGTGCAGATACGTGGGCTATTCACTGGATTCCAGTCTGGATTACCCTTCCAGGCTTAGTGCCTGTGCAGCCAGTGTATTCCTGCCAACACTGATATCTCCTGTTCTCACTGCTTATTAGTTTGCTTTCTCTTGCCTTCTATGCCCTCCCCAGTACCTAATCCTTACTGTTACAAGTATAATTTTTTCTTATATTCAAGACCCAACTAAAATGTCTTAATTCCCTCAAGTTGTCTGAGAACATGGAAGTTCTCAGAATTAGAAGTCTGACCTCTAAATCATGCAGTATTTGACCTTTGTGTGTGTCTGATACTTATGCCAAGTGGTGCATGATTAGCTCTGTGTGCATTCTTACATTTGTAAGTTATAATCACAGTTCCTGATTGAGCGAAGCTGCAAACCCCACCTCTCTCTTTCAGGTCATTTCCACTCTCCCAACATTCCACAAAAATGTCTTCAACTACTTGATGGCGTTTTTGCAAGAACTGCTGAAAAATTCAGCAAAAAATCATTTGGATGAAAATATTCTAGGTAAGTAGCCAAGTGTCTAGGACAAGCATCTCTACCGAGTCACTGAGGAAGGAAGCGGAATTAAAATGTGTTTTCTTTTCTACATTCACCTCCCCTTTTCCTAGCCTTTACTTCCTTTTCCCCCAAAGCTCAGAGGAAAGTATTTGCTTTTGCTTTTTTTTTTAAACTTTTGTTTGTTTGTTTTGTTTTGTTTTATTTTGAGACAGAGTTTCTTTGTGTCTGCTCTGGCAATCTTGGAACTGCTTTGCAGACTAGGCTGGCCTTGACCTCAGAAGAGATCTGACTGCCTCTGCTTCCTGAGGCTTTTTTTCTTTTAACTTTTTAAGAGATAGGGTCAAGTTATGTCTGTTGCCAAAGCTGGCCTCAAATTCACTGTGTACCCCATGCTGGCCTTGGTCCCCCGAATGCTGCAAATGTGCCGCTATGCCCTGTTCTGAATGAAGTTTATATGTAGATTGTTTGAGGCTGGAAGGATGGCTTAGTGGTAGAACGTTTGGCTCACATGTGCAAAGCCCTGGAGCTGCCTGTTTCGGCTGGACTAGCTGGCTGGCCTGTCTGCAGGATCCACCTCTCCACCTGCACACCGCTGGGGTTTCAGGTGTGTGCCAGTGTGCCTGGCTCAGGGGTGGGTGCTGGGTCTGCACTCAGGTCCTCTCACTCCCTGAGCCATCTCCACAGCCCACTGTATAGCTCAGACTGGGCTGGAGCACATGTACCACCACACCCAACTATATGGTTTTTCAAGGAGAAAATACCTGGGCATAGTGCACATCTTTAATCCCAGGACTCAGGAGGTAGAGGCAGGTGGGTCTCCTGAGTTTGAGGCAGCCAGGGTCTGCCTTTAAAAATTTTGCTTTTGGATAGTCCTTCCTCTCTCCTAGTCACCCTAGTAGTCTGGTTGCTAAATGGTGTTTTCTGTTTCTGTCATGCACAGCTAGTATATTTGGCAGCTTACTGCTCCGAAACCCAGCTCGTCCCCAAAAACTTGACATGACGGAGAAAAAGAAGGCCCAAGAGTTTATTCATCAATTCCTCAGCAGTCCAGTCTGAGCCTCAGTACTTCTCTCCTGTCTTACCCAAGCAGCCACAATGGTCAACCCCGCCTGTTTCAGCTCAAGAGCTGCCCTAAAGTACTCTGAGGCCAGCTGGAAGCAAGATCGGCAGCTACCTGTTTCTTGAGCCTACACCTGCTCCTTACCCATGTCATTGGCTAGTACACCCATCTTGACTTGTGAAAACATGGCGGAAATCCACAATTATAGAACTGACATTCAATGTTCACCTTTAGTTATTTAACACAAATAGAGCTCTAGTTGTTTATATTTTTTTTTAAAGAAAGTTAAGTAACTGTATTTTGCCTTACTCAAACTGCCTCTGGGACATACAGTCAGTGAGTTCCCTGTATCCCTGACTGAGCATCTCATAATTAGGTATTTGGGCTAGCTGAAGTCCTTGAAGAACAAGTTGGACAGCAGGAATTTGGTTAGATGTTCCTGGATAAACAAATTTTAGCCATTCCAGATGCTCCCACTGTCCAATCTGAGGACCTGTATATACGCAGGGCAACACTGCCCCCTTTCTACTCAGCTCCAAGGCCTCTCAGTGGCCCCTAAAAGCACAGAAGAAAAGGGGGCTCTGGTGAAGCAAGTGAGCTTTTGTAGGTCAGACAGTCCTCCCAGCTGTATATAATGTATCCCCTCTCATATGTGTAATATATTTTAATGATAAATGTATTTTTAACAGTCGTGATTGTCGTTTTCTTTTTTTAAGTTACGTGTGTGTGTGTGTGTGTGTGTGTGTGTGTGTGGCGGTGGTGGTGATATTTGCATGTGTGAATGCTGGTGCCAAGAGAGGAGAGATTCTTGTGAAGCTGGAATTACAGCTGGTTGTGAGCCACCCAATGTGGGTTCTGTGAATCGAACTCAGGTCAAGCGCAGTAGATGGACTTAACCACTGAGTCTTCTCCCCTTATTCCCCCCTTTCAAAATATGGTAGTTCTTAGCAGATGGGTCTTTGTGGCTTAAGCACAGAAGCAGCTGGTCAGAGGCCAAAGAGACATGCGTGGCAGTCTAGCGTGTGAGAGTCACTATTCGGTATAACCCAAGCAGAGGGAATGGCACAGCAGTTTGGGGCTGAATCCTGATCTAGCCTATAAGGGCATTGCTCCAACCTAAACGTTCCAGAGAAGTCGCTCTTGGGGAAAATAAACAGTAGCTTATGTGAGGGTCTAGTAATTATATTTACTGGATTATAGTAGAAGTACGCGCAAAATCGCTTCTTTGGCTTTGGATACTGCTACCAGGTAGTGGTTTCAAGGGTCTGTAGGCTGAGTGTTAACAGCTGAAGAGGGGATCGGCCAGTAGGTGGCGCTGACCCTCCCGAGCACGAAAACCCTCCCTAGGACGGGCAAGTTGGGACTGCCATCTCTGGCAGGCGTCGGAACGGGAAGCGACTGAAACAGTCCGCTCTGCTTTCGGGTCCTAGGACCTCAGCCAGGAGAACTACGCTGCGTGACAAGGGCGCAGTGGAGGAAGAAGAGGGATGCCGAGGGCTGGCCTACGCGCCTGGAAAGCGGCGGCTCACTGCGCCCTTCCCGCTGCAGCTATGGGCGCAGCCCGGGCTGAGGACACCTCGGGCTCGTGGCTGGTGTCGCGTGGTCTCCAGAACCCGACACCCGCCGCTCCCTACGGTCGGCTTCCCCAGCCGCCCAGGAGCTCCTGACGCCGCTCACCCCGCCCACAGCCCGCCGGCTGGAGGCGCGGTCCCAACCCTGGACGGCAGAAGCCAATCAGAAGCAGCAGTGGTCGAAGGAACCCGCCGGCCTCTTCTTCCTCCGGAAAGAGGAAGCGGAAGTGACGCTAGGGACAGGTGGGGGCAATCATGGTGCCGCTGGGGAGGGGAGAAGCTGCCGCTGCCGCCGTTGCCGGGAGCCGCGGAGGTAAAAGCAGAAGCTGGACTGGCTGGGGCTGGGACTCCCCGGGGGGCGCGGGACATGGGCTCCCTGCCGAAGCCGTCCCGGGTAGAGACTTCATTCCACTCACCAGAGGGACCCCACCCCTCCTCCGTTTCCATGGGGATGGGTATCCAGCCCCCCTTCTCTGTTTCCATGGAGACCCGGACCCTGCCCCTCTTCGCCCAGCTCGTAGCCCCCAGCCTGCCTCGGGGTTTTTCTGTGTAGTCCTGGACTAGGGGTGCTTTTCCCGGTCAGGTTCCTCCTGCCAGTCTCTCAGGGGTGCTCGGTTCACACTCCTCGGCCACACTCGCACCTCCTGGTCTTGTTTGTTACGGAAAGTTGGTCTCTGCGTTGCCGCCGAAGGTGCCGGGGCAGCCCACCGGGAGCTCTCGGTATTCTTATCTCTCGTCTCAGAGACAGAGAAACGTGCCTTTCTAGGGTTGCGTAAGCAAAGGTTCGGGCTGGTTCCTCTCTGATTAGATCCCTTGACCTGTGTCTGGTAACTACCTCGCCTTCTTGTCGCTCTGGCTCGTGAAGACTCACTTGCTAACAACCCCCGAGCAGGAGAGAAAATGCAGAAGCAGGCTGAAAACCAAGTGATGTGCTGATTATTTTAAATTCTCCTTTTGTGTCTGCCGAACCCACATTTGTAGAACCTGTGTGTTTTCGGGTGCAGGAAGAATCACCATTCCAGACCATGAAAGCTTCAAATTTGGTAATTTCCTCAAGAGACTGTCTTCGAAAAGAGACGTTATCTGCTCATCTGTCATTCATTTTGTTGCTATTTCCTGCGTGCCTCGTGTCAGTATGGTGTGCGAGGGACAGCTTTTCGGGGCAGAAAGCCTAGTCACGCTGTTACAGGCATACTCTCTGGCCCATGTCATGTTTTAGGATACAAATAATTAAAATGATTTGCATTGACTATGATTTACTAGGGGTTAACCCCTCCACCCCACGTGTTCTAGCAACGACGGAAGGAGTCTATCCTCTTTCTACTGTTTGACAGGACTGTGTTTTACCTGCCATTTCTCTTTCACTCCTTATGAGACGGGGACTGTGAGTCCCACTGTAGAAAGACAAGGCACCGTTTGGCCAAGCAGTCAGGAGCAAACCAGGATTTGTAGGTGATTGTTTGTGTTCAAAGTGTTGTTTCTGCACCATCAACAACACGAGGCTGTGTACTGCCTCACGGTGTGACTGAGGGGGAGGGTGTTCGGATGGGAGTGCCTCACTTGAGGTTTATAGCTGCTGGTCCTTGAACTGCGTGCAGTTTGCTCTTTTCTCCTCACTAGGTGCATACCCATCTTTAAGGTGTGTGACAGTAAATCACAGTTAGGTCTTCTGAACTGCTAACTTTAAATTTTTGAAAAAGAAAAAAGATATACTACTTTCCCTTAACAGTTACTGATTTTGCCAATCTTAAATATTTCTAAGGAGGGTTGTTTTTTTTTTTTTTTTTTTTTTTTTTTGAGATTCTCACTGTGTATCCCTGGTTTACCTGGAATTCTCAGAGATCTGCCTTCCTCTACCTGCCAGGTGCTGGGATTAAAGGCATGCACCACTATGCCTAGGCCTGAATTGCTGTCTTTTTTGTTTGAGACAGGATCTTATTATCTAACTTTGGTTGACCTGGAGCTCACTATGAAGGCCAGACTGACCTTGAACTTCCAGAGGTCTGCCTGCCTCTGCCTCCCTCCCAAAGTCTGGGATTAAAGCCTTGGTTTGCTCTTTAAAGCGAGGGAGAACTAAGGTGTTTAGGAGGTGGTTGAGTCTTGTGCCTGGCTCTAACTCTGTGTTGTCTGTTGCAGAAAGGCCATTACCGTTCTGTTTCTCACAACTGGGCTGAGCACAACTGAACCATGGGGGAGCACAGTCCAGACGACAACATCATCTTCTTTAAGGGAGAGGAAGATGACCTAACCCCGGATGACAAGATGCTCAGGTTTGTGGATGACAGCGGACTGGTGCCGTCCTCATCTGGAACTGTTTATGATAGGACCACTGTTCTCATAGAGCAGGACCCTGGCACTTTGGAGGATGACGACGACGACGGACAGTGCGGAGAACACTTGCCTTTTCTAGTGGAAGGTGAAGAGGGCTTCTTAATAGATCAGGAAGCAATGTCCCAGGGTTATGTACAACACATTATCTCACCCGATCAGATTCATTTGACTATAAACCCTGGTTCCACGCCCATGCCAAGAAACATCGAAGGTGCAACCCTTACTCTGCAGTCGGAATGTCCAGAAACGAAACGCAAAGAAGTAAGTAAAGCAGCGGATGCGGGCCCAGTGTGGCTGTGGGGCAGCTCCTTGTGCAGCGTGCTGGCAGTCTTAACTGGGGCTAAAGGAGCCCCTGGGCTTAGAGCCCGCAGTAGTCTTGCCTGTCAACAACACATCCGCTTCCTGTTTTGTTGTGACTGCTTTCTAGAACTGTTGGATTGTATGGCCACTTTGTATTGAGAAATACCACGCTGTAATATATCAGATTTCCCTCATCACATTATAAATAAAGTAGAAATGTCACCGAAGTGGATGCATAATTACGCTGCGAAAGTCACAGTGTGGTTCCTCTGCTAGCAGAGTGACCAGGTTTGTGTCTGATAGCTAGAGCTGCCTGTAAATGCTTTGCAAGGGAGATGCCTGCGGAAATGAGCTTTATTAATTTAGTGACTGTTAAATGGATAGTGACGGGTAGTTTTTATACTTCAGGCCAGAGACCACAAATGAGACCAGGTTAGCGGAAAGTTGCCACATTCGTGTTCAGATAATGTGAATAAAATAATGCCTTTCGGGATATCCTGGAAACTGTAAAGCATTTTTCAAATTGTAGTGCTGAATTTGAATGAAATCAATGATACGGCTTAAACGTTATTCAGGAACTAGTGCAAGTTCATTTGAAGAGAGGTCCCTGGCAGTTACTGTATTGAGGACTCAATGTCAGGTACTACCGAGCAGGAATAGACCTCGTTTCTTTAGGAAATGTTTTTCCTTTTCTGATTTAGTGAAGGTCTGAAATTACATGCAACTTGTAGAAATGACTTATTCATGACATTTGGCTTTTCCTTTATAACCTTAGACTCTTTAGTTAGGGGTGGAATGCCTGCCTAACATACTTGAAGGCTTGACCTCTAGTTCTGCAAATAAATAAATAAATATTGTAGAGCTGTAAATGCTTTTGAGAGACCCAGTAATCTTTGCAGCACCTCAGACGTCTGTTCTATGGTCTGTGCTTGAACCTTCCAGAATGGGAAGAGCATAGGTTCTCGGAGCTCAGTCCAGTCCAGTCCAGTCCAGTCGGTCCAGTTCGTTTGTTGGTCCGCTCTGATTGCTAGGAAGCGTTTGCTTGTATAGGACCAAGGTCTGTCCTCATGTAGTGCTGCTCCCTGCCTCCAGGGCTGTCTTCCTGAGAACCCTTCTCCCATGGGGCAGCCGGCACATTTTTAAAGGTGCCTCCATGTCCTTTGGTACAAGCTAGCCACCTACACTCAGATATTTTTCTGATGGCATTGTCCCCAGTCTCTCCTCAATCTGGTTGCCTTTAACTGAAGGAATTCCAGTTTTCCGATGTCCTTTTAGAATCCAGAGTTGAGCATGGTCTCCCAAGAGTGAGTCAGCAGTGCCAGTTGTGTGGCTCTTATCCGTCGCCTCATCTGGACACTGTCCTACAGTCACTGTGTCATCTGTGTTTATACCTGCATCTCACTGTTGGCTTGTGCTTGGAAACCTCTAGAATAGTGGTTCTCGGCCAGGGGCATTTTTGCCCCCCAGGAGACAGTTGGTTGTCATACTGGGGATGGGCTAACTGGAATTGTGTAGGTAGGCGCTGATGATGCTGTTAGATGTTTTATAATGTACAGGCTAGCCTCCGACGACAAGTACTTACCCTAGGTGTCTTCAGGGCTGGGCTGGAAGAGCCCTGTTCTGCATTCTCGTAGGTGCAGCTGTCAGGTTCCGTGCTGGTGAAGGTAGACACTCTGGCAAGCCTCAGGAATTTTCTTGTTGGTCGGCCTATTGTGGGAGCTTGTACAGGGGTCCATCTGCCTTCAGCAGACCCAATTACTCGTTGCTGTGTTGTTGTTGAGATGGCTCCCGTAACCCAAGCTGGCCTCCAGCTTGCTGTGTAGTTAAGGTTGACCTTGAACTTTAGATGTCCTGCCTTCCCTTTCCAATGCTAGGGTGACAGGCATGTCCCTTGCCTCACAAACATTTCAAGCAAGGTGCTGTGATTGCAGATGGTTCTCTGCAACATGGAGGTAGAATTACCTGATGGCAGAAATGTGAGCACCAGGGAAAGAGGTAGCAGTGAAGGGAACCAGTGCTGTATTTGGGAACACAAGGAACTCAGCTGTGTGCTTAGGCGAGCCTTCAGGGTGGTCTTAAATATGTCTTCAGTTTATGAGAAAAGCAGGATATGAGTGTTTCTGAGAGATGGGGACAATGTGAACAGAGAGAGGCAGAAAACAAAAGCCCCTTCCCCTCTTTAGGGAGTGGCCAGCTATCCCCCTAAAACAAGGGTTCTTTCTTTTGTGTGTGTATGTGTGTTTTTCTTTTTTGAAACAGGCTCTGAGGGGAGGGGGATTCGAGACAGAGTTTCTCTGTGTAGCCCTGGCTGTCCTGAAACCCGCTCTGTAGCCCAGACTGGCCTTAAACTCTCAGAGATCCGCCTGCCTCTGCCTTCCAAGTGCTGGGCTTAAAGGCATGCGCCACTGTGTGCAGCCCAAGCTTTTCTCAAAGTGATCATCATCCTGCCTCCCTAGTGCTGGGATTACAGGCACATTGACCTCCACACATGTGCCTTGGCACATGCCTCCCCCCCGACATGCATGTACGCACACACATGCACACAGAATTGGCTTGTGGTATTCAGTTGTAACAACAAAAATGAAACTATTCCTGTTCCTATTTAATTGACTAAAACAAATCAAATAGCTGTTCCCACCTTGAGATCTACCAAGGAAGAGGGGATGAGACACTTAGTAAACATAGTAAAGCGAACTAAAGTCAGGGGTGCTACAAGCCACTTGGGGCTTCTGTGGGGCTACTTGCAGGCTGTGGACCCTACAGGATGCTTGTGTCTATTCACATACTTTACACTTCTGCAATACTTTTTGGCTGTCTCTTTTTAGTTTAACTACTTGTGGCCAGTGCATTTTTCTGTAAAGGGCTAGATAGTAAATGTTCTTGTCCTTACAGACTCTGTGGTCTCTGTTACAACCAGTCAACTCTTCGATTGTAACACAAAATCAGTCATAGACAATGGGCAGTGGGCTGAGGTGGAGCTCCGTCTGGATCACTTACCACAAAGCCGTGGGTTCTATTCCTGGCACTGCAGTAAAGCAGAAAGAAATATGTAAATGAGCATGCTGGTCAGAACTGATTTACTAGTTGTAGTGATTGTGTCGACTGGACTAGAATCCAGGGAGTAGCAGGAGACAGGGATGGAAAGAGCAAAGATCCAAATCTAGGAAGCAGTGATTGCTTGCTGAGGTTGTTTTAGAAGCAGTGGGAGACTTTGGGATTTGGGAGCAGGAGTAATGTGACCAGAGGGTCATTTCAGAGCTAGCTAGAGTGGCGCACACCTTTGATCCCAGCACTTAGGAGGCAGAGGCAGGCGGATCTCTGCGAGTTCGAGGCCAGTCTGGGCTACAGAGCGGGTTTCAGGACAGCCAGGGCTGCACAGAGAAACTCTGTGTCGAGTCCCCCTCCCCCCAGAGAAAAGAAAGTAAAGATTCATCTAGGTCTGGACATGGTGGAGCACACCTTTAGTGTCAGCACTCAGGAGGCAGAGGCAAGCGGATCTCTTGAGTTCAAGGCCAGCTAGGGCTCCACAGTAAGATCCTTTCTCAAAGCAAAAGATATTTTTTTTTCTCACTGTGTTGAGTTGTTGCTGGTCGATGAGTGGGTAAAGATTTTAGTAGCTGAGAATCTGTCATGATGGGTAATTCAGTCATGTTCAGGCTGTGTGCTGAAGACAAAGTGTCTAGCTCTGCCTTCTACCCCGTGCCTTGCCACTCTAAATGATGAGTCTGTTAACAAGAACTGGAGCAGCAGGAAAGTTTGGTGGGGAAATGAGCAAACCTGGTTGGTGTGGACTGAATGTATAGTCCTTGGAATAAGGAGCACAAGTTGAAACCCACTGGAAATGTCACAGAGATGACACGGATCCTAGGTCCCTTTGGGGTGGCAGTATGAACAAGGAAGAAGGTAGGGACTGGAGAGGGAAGGGGCAGCCAGGGAAGAAGCCAGTAGTTGGAAGAGGGTGGAATGTGCTCTTCTGAACTCTGAGTCAGGAAGGCTGACCTCCTGTGTGACCTGGAAGAGGGACCGAGGAGCTGCAGAAAACACTAGTTCTGTCTCTTGGTCAGCTGCTCCTCACATTTTGAAAAGGCCTTCAGCTGAGCCCGGGGCACAGAGCCTGCGTGAGGTAGAAGCTGGGATGACAGAACAGGAAGCAGGAAGTGTAAAGTTTTGTTTTGTTTTTAAAGTTTGGTACTTGGAAGAGAAAATCATTGAGTAGCGGCTCAGGGGCCTTGAAACTGAAGTTTAGGAAGTTTGAGCTGAGCACAGCACAGGGGAAGCAGAGGCAGATGGATTTCCAGACAGCTAGGGCTACATAGTGAGACCCTGTTTCTAAATTAATTAGGGCCTCAAAAGTCTTGACATAGTTCGGGATCCAGCTTTAGGCCCCCGTCAGGTAATGATTACTCTCTAAGGGCTCAGGAGCAAACGTTTGAGAAGTGTGAGGTAAAACCAAACTCCTTCAGAACCTACCGGGCAGGACCTTTGGCTTGCTAATAGCTAACAAAGAAAATCAGAATCTTCTGAATGCTATAAGCTTATGCTATAAACCATTTTTCTTTTTTTTTAAATATTTATTTATTTATTATGTATACAACATTTTGCTTCCATGTATACCCACACACCAGAAAAGGGCACCAGATCTCATTACAGATGGTTGTGAGCCATCATATGGTTGCTGGGAATTGAACTCACGACCTCTGGAAGAGCAGTCAGTGCTCTTAACCACTGAGCCATCTCTCCAGCCCCTATAAACCATTTTTCAAGGATTAGTAGGGCACATTTTGGTAAATACTGACCTAGGCAGAAGAGAAGATGGGAGAGAGGAGGAGGGGAGGAGGGAGGGAGGAGGAGGGGAGGGGAGGGAGGGGCTATGCAATCTGGTGGTAGCTGTCACTTTCCTGTTTGTGCTCCTTAGCAATTAGTTGCTTCTGTTTGCAAGCCTGACTTGCCCCGTTGGTTTC